CCAACTGGGTCAGGAGCATCTGCCACCAACTCAGCTAAAATGTGTACTTCTCTAGCACTGTGGATTCCATATCCCATATCTACTGTATTCTAAGAGTTGATGTCAAAAATTTATCTTGTACACGGTTCATTTATTTTGTTCAACAAATCCTCACTATATATACTGATCCTTGTTACCTTTGGGTCCTTAGTGCTCAGTTCCTTTTCACCTGAGAATAGATCACTCTTGTCAATAGCTTTGCCTGGCACTGAACTCAACCTCCACTTCTAGACAAGGAATGAATGTATGATTTAGAAACAAATCATACTGGAGTTTCTGGCCATAGTTCAGAACTGAACACGTGTCTTAAGTTGGGTCACTCAATGGATCTTATGATATTTTCTGTTATGAGATCATTTCTACTTAGTCAGAGCCATAAAGTTTAGGTAGGACCAGATATTTGTCCAGACAACAAACACGAAGCTGTACTACATCTGCAGAGAAGAGATAAAAAGTAAGGGTAAGCCCCTAGCTTACTCTTAAGGGCCTAGCTGTAGCTTAAACTTTGGGAGCTAGCATTCAGATGAATTAATAAATTCATCCTTTGCTGTGTTAGGATGTTTTGGATTTCTTCTGCATACAATTTAAAAGAACAAGGGTAGAATCGTCAGCTATAGGAGTTCGGAATCTTATATTATTTGAAAAAGAAAGAACGAATATACCTATATTACTAGCTATATGTGTTAAAAGGGGATAACCACTAAAAAAAGAGTAAATAACCTACAAATTACACAAAGAGAAAAAGAGACAGAAGTAAGTCAACAGCAAACAACTACTTCCTTCAGGGTCACTTTATTTGCTAATTGCCCCTAAAAAAACAAGAGGAATCAATAAATGTTCTGGATCTTTCATTAGAGCCAAGCAGAGGTTTGAAAGTCATTTAGGGAAGGGGTTATCCTGTGTGGTCTTAGGCCGCAGTCTGCTTTATGGTTTTCAATCATTAAACAATGCCCTTTTCTGGAAAAAAGGGTAAATACATAGTTAAAACTAGAGTAATATGAATTAGTATATAGGTAGCTGCAAACACTTAAAGATATATTACAATTTTAATAAGCTTTAAAAATATGAATTGTAATAGTTTCAAAATAACAATATTTTATAAGTTTCTCTCTAAGTCAGAACCTAAGTCTCCCAATCTCTGTAAATCAGAGATTCATAAATAACCTGAGATACAGCACATACCTGGGATCATTACTAATATTTAGCATGTCTTTCAAGATGCAACCATATTGTAGAATAAAACACGATTTTACTAATTTTTGTAGCCATACACTATTCCAATGCACACATGTAGTCTTATTTTATGTATCAGTTAATACATTGAGTTGGTTTTACTTTCTTCAATATCGCAAATAAGGCTATTTCATTATGAACATTTACATACAAGTTCTTGTGAACATATTTCAGTTTCTACTTAGGAATATGGAATTCTTTAGTTATAAGGGAACTCCCATTCAATCATTTAAGTGTTTACCTAGTCAAGGTACCGTCAGACATCACTATGGTGGATACGCTGATGGCAAAGGTCTCTGACTTGTCTACCTGATTTTTAACTGTTTTCCCTTAGCAGGAATGGTCATCAGCATAAAGGAGAAAGTTTATTTCTAAGACAAAAAGGGCAGGGGCTAATAAATAAACCCTTCTATTAGTCTATTAAGGTTACAGCAACGAAGTATAACAAACCACAGAAATGTAATATCCATAGTTCTTAAGACCAAAAGTCCAAAAGTAAGATGGTAGCAAGGTTGGTTATTTTCTTCTAGGGCTCTGAATGATCCGTTTTAGGCCTCTCTGCTTGGTTTACCAACAGCTGTTTTCATGTTCATATGATGTTTTACTGAATGAACACTTGTCTCTAAATTTCCATTTTAGAGTTATCAGTTATACTGGACAGGTGACTTAAAATACTTTACTACAACCTCATCATAACTAATTAATGACTATTTACAAGTAAAGTTACATTTGGAGGTAGGGAGACTTGAACTGTCAGCATATCAATTTTAGACAGTTCAGTACACCAGTGTTATAAACATTGAAATTTAAAAATGGTGATGGTAGAAAAATAAGTCTTCTTCTTCTTTTGGAGACAGGGTTTCTCTGTAGCATTCATTGGAGCCTGTCCTGGAACTAGCTCTTGTAGACCAGGCTGGCCTCAAAATCACAGAGATCTGCCTGCCTCTGCCTCTGAGTGCTGGGATTAAAGGCGTGGGCCACCACCGCCCAGCAATAGTCCTCTTATATACCTTTAAAAATGCCTTTGGTACTGCCATGAATACATTCAAGGTGTAAGAAAGCACTGTAGTTGCACTACAATAGGTATCATAAGTGATGTAGAGATAATGTAAAATATATAGAAGGATGTGCACAATTTACATACAAACATAGAGTCTTCAGGGCAACTGTGGATTTGGTCATAGAGGGGTACTTTTGTAACGAATCTCCAACACATGCTGAAGGACAAGGGCATACACAAACATAAAACGGAATCCTGAACTGGGCATTGGAGGTTTGTGTCTTTAATACCAAGGACTCGAAGGCAGAGGTAGGTGGATCTCTGTGAGTCTTGAGGTCAGCCTGGGTTGGCCTGGTCTACAGAGTGAGTTCCAGGATAGCAAAAGCTACACAGAGAAACAAGTCTCAAAAACAAACAAACAAATAAAAACAAAAACAGAAAACAAAAATAAAAACAAAAAAAGGAGGAGGAGGAAAAGGAAATCTGTCTGGGCCATGGTGGCACAGGTCTTTAATCCCAGCACTCAGGAGGCAGAGGCAGGAGGATTCTGTGAGTTAAAGGCCAACCTGTTCTATAGAGCAAGTTCTAGGACTGGCTCCACAGCTACTGAGAAACCCTGTCTTGAAAGACCAAAACAAATAAACAGAAACAACAACAAAACAAAACTTGCATGGTCATGAATATATCTAAGCTACAAAAATCAAATTCACAAAAGTACAAAAGAATGGTGATTACAGAAGGGAAAGGTCAAAAGTCAGGTCGATGGGGAGATACTTGTCTAAGGATATAAAATTTCAGCTGCACAAATATGATGACATTCTACATAACTAAAATAAAGCATGACGGTGCAGTTAATAAATTATCTGAGTTAATATACTAGACCGTAAAAAAGTAACCGTGGCTGGGTGGTGGTGGCACACGCCTTTGATGCCAGCCCTCGGAGACAGAGGCAGGCAGATCTCTGTGAGTTCCAGAACTGGCTCTATAGCTACTAAGAAACCCTGTCTCAAAAAATAAACAAAAAAGAGTAACCTTGAAGAGACAGCCATATGAACTGAACTGTAGCAGTAAACTTGATACATGTATCAAGATATACGTTTCTTCAACTTAAATCTATACAAGTTTATATAAAAATGGCTATATAATGGTTACAAAGCTTAAGGTGATAATTTTCATTACATGTGTTTTATAACATTAAAAAAATAAAAACCTGGCAACTACTCACTGTATCAAATGTTCTTTAAGATTTAGGGTTGTGTACATTATATGCATATATACATGTACTCATCTACCCAACCTAACCTAACCTAAAGAACAGCTCAGATTAATTCTATTTACTACTGTGTTTCAACATACTGGACTTGTCGATATGAGAAAGGAATGATGTTTATATAACACACACAAAAAAGTTGAAATTCGCCGGCAGGTGGTGGCACACGCCTTTAATCCCAGCACTCAGGAGGCATAGGCAGGTAGATCTCTGTGAGTTCGAGACCAGCCTGGTCTACAGAGCTAGTTCCAGGACAGGCTCCAAAGCCACAGAGAAACCCTGTCTCGAAAAACAAACAAACAAACAAACAAAAGTTGAAGTTCATCTTTATTCAAGGCTAGGATTAATACAAAAACCAACAGAGTCCTTATCTCTTTGGTCTTCTTACTACCACACAAAACATTTTCTTATCAGAAATCTCCAAGGGAAAGATTAAGATGGTACAATGTGAAGGATGGTGGAGCTTCAGAGATGGCTGAGCAGTAGTTAAGCGATTTGCTGCTCTTGCAGAGAACTTAAATCCCAGCATCCACTTGGTGGTTCACAACCACCTGTGACTCCAGTTCCCAGGCATCTGATACCCAAAGTCTTCATCTGTCCTCCATGGACTCTACGCATGCAGAAAGACACCAAACACATTTTTTTAAAATAAAAAAAGAAAGAAATTTCTTCCTTTTATCTCCTTGAAGGAATGTTGGCAGAGGCCGTTCATTTATTCCTGCTGCCCTAACCAGAAATAATCACACAGAAACTATATATTATTTGCAATGCTGTTTGGCCAATAGCTTAAGTATATTTCTAGCTAGCTCTTACATCTTAAATCAAACATCTCTATTAATCTATGCATCACCATGAGGTTGTGGCCTACGGGCAAGGTTCCAAAGTCTTTCTCACTGACAGACCTATTCTCTATATCTTTTCCAACCTGGCTATATTCTGTTAAGCCATTGGCAATAAAATATATTCACAGCATACAGAGGGGAATCCCATATTAAGGGAAAACAATTTTTCTTCCACTTAAAAATTTGTTTTAGAAAGAAAAAGCAAAAATATATCACTAAGGATGAGAATAACAGATGAATGGAATCACAAGTACAGTCCTGTGGGCAAGCATTTTCTATTGTCCATCACTCTCTGACACGTATGTGATCAGGAATTGACAAATCTAGGGAAAGCTGGGAAGTAAGTTAAAAAAACAGAGAATATATTCACCTGAAATTAGAGACCAATACCCTCCTTCAACAGGTATTTAGACAGTTATTTAAAACACGCATGGCTAAATATCACTGGTATCCTAGAAGAAGCATGGTAAGGGTACCATGAGAGAGCTATAAATTAAGGTCAAGGCACTGAATTCAATCAACTCTGAAGAGAAAAATGAGGCAAAACATTCTTATTAAGGGAAATTTTAGTATGGCTTAACAAAGCAACATTTGTTTTCATATTAGTATTCCTTACCCTTAGCTTATCACTTCTCAGTCTTCTAAGATCAAGAGCAGTATCCTTAGTAATTACACTGCACTTCGCTACACCTGAATTTAAAACAGAGCAGTGTTAAACAGTGAACTTTAACTGGGCAGAAACATGAGTTTTTCAGGTATCCCTGATGATCTACTGGAGTCACCCTAAGAACCTTTTCAGGAAACTCACTCAAGTTTGATACCCCAAGAAACACTGATAATAACACTGACAGGGCTAAACCTCTCAACTCACTAAGACACAAACAGAGGTAGAGTTCATCTGTCAATGCTACAATCTTGGGGATCTTAACAGTTTCTTTGTATTCTGCCCAACAAAGGTGTCACTCCAAGGAAACTAATCAAGGCATTAGGTGGCAACAACGTCCATGATCTTCTAGGTCATAGGTCACAGGCCTCAAGCTAGTAGTACTAGACAGAACCCATGCCTGGGTACTATTGCTAAATTTCCAAGTTAAGACAGTTCTAGGGGAGCTGGAGAGATGGCTCAGAGGTTAAGAGCAGGACCTTCCAAAGGTCCTGAGTTCAATTCCCAGCAACCACATGGTGGCTCACAACCATCTATAATGGGGTCTGGTGCCCTCTTCTGGGCCTGCAGGCATATACACAGACAGAATATTGTATACATAATGAATAAATATTTTTTTTTAAAAAAAGAGTTCTAGATCAGCAATTAACCTATACATAAGTATGTGACCATAATCATGCTAGCTGCAAAGTGGTGACTCAATCAAATACGGGTGTTCTACTACACCTGCCTCAGAACAGAAAGCAAGTTTCAGTATACAGATATCTACGGAGCATGCTTTTGATGTGGCCCATTGCAAGCAGCAAACCTGTAAACCAAGAGACCTCACTAAACTAGGGTAACCATCTACATCAGCCAAAACAACCCAAACCAAAAGCAGTTCCAGAGGAACAGAGAAGACAACCAGTAACCTGCTTGCTCAGAGATGACTAACGAAGCTCCCCAGCATCCCTATCCAACAGAGTGCAGTCAGTGGGATCTCATGGGACTACAGAGTACAGTTAGCAGAACACTTTAACCTCAGAATACAGAACATAACCTAACAGGCGCCACCAAGATCTTCTTGCCTAGTGATGATACTAGGTGGTGGTGTATGCAGAATCTCAGGCAAAATAATACAAATCTGTCACTAACAAGGAATACTAGAAAAAGCAGGAAAAGACAGCTATTTTCTCAAATGAGTTGCCTGCAAAATAAAGACCCCAAAATGATGAAAATAATCCCTATCAAAATTCTAATGCTGTTCAGGCAAAATGGCACACACCAATATTCCAGCACTTGTGGGGTCAAGGCAGAAGGATCACGAATTCAAGGCCTGCCTAGAGTACATAGTGGGACATTGTCTCCCAAGTCCTTAATACATACTCAAAAAAAAAAAAAAACAACCTATGAATGAAAAAATAAAACTAGATGGATATCTTTCCTGATTTTATCTTCTTCTTCCTTCCTTCATTGGTTTTTTGGGGACAGGTTTTTCTATAGCTTTGGAGCCTGTCCTGGAACTCACTCTGTAGACCAGGTTGGCCTCAAACTCACAGAGATCCACCTGCCTCTGCTTCTTAAGTGTTGGGATTAAAGGCATGCGCCACCAATGCCCAGTCCTTTTTTGATTTTTAAAGCAATACGGGGTGGTAATAATCTACTGTCTCTTTAAATTTTAAAATAAAGATTGAAGAAATAAGGAGGCAGTATAATCCTGGCATATTACATTTTTGGAGGTCTAGTATCACTGATTTTTCCAGACTTGATTGCCTAGAATGTATTTTGCCTGAAGTTGTAATGTTTTCTCTTTAAGATAAACTTTAACAACAGTATAAATCTTATAAATCTACTCATAAAAAGCCAAGAGGTTGGAAAATACTGAGAAAAATAGGGAAGTGATAAACTGAGTAAAAAAAGTAACTTTTTTTTTTTTTTTTTTTTTTTTTTGGTTTTTCAATACTGGGTTTCTCTGCAGCTTTGGAGCCTGTCCTGAAACTAGCTCTTATAGACCAGGCTGGCCTTGAACTCAGAGACCCACCTGCTTCTGCCTCCTGAGAGCTGGGATTAAAGGTGTTTACCACAACTGCCTGACTAAAATAACATTTTTAAAAACCAACTTCCTGATCACTACAACCAGTTATGGAAGGATAATGGTTCACAACATAAAGTTAGAAGAGACATTGCAAATGTTTAAAGAGAAATAAAGGCTGAGAAACATGATGAAATCCATTACTATCACATTATTCCAAAGTACCCTCATCAGTTTCCCTTGAAGCCAAAGAAAGAAATCAAGATATTTAGGAATAAGAAGTCCACTATAATCATACCCACACCTAACTTTCCATTTTGATTACTTTTCATTTGTCCTGAACTGCAGCCACACTAGGGCACTTACTTTGTGTGCCATATGACTGCTCTCTAGATCCCTTTCCAGCCATAGCCCCCTTGAGTCACATCTTTTCTTTAGGCTCTTGGCTCCAAAGCACTGTTGCTTCTACCAGTCTTTTTGTTTCATGATCTACTGTATGTCTCATAACACCCCAATCCTCCAGTCTAGCCATCATTTGCTTTTTGAGCATTTACTATTGAAACATGTGGTCAATATGACATGTACTTATTGTTATAATTTATTTAAAAATGTCGCAAAGAAGTCACACCATGCAAGAAGACTCACATAGGTTTACTGAAAGAAGAGAGAGAATGGGCAGAGAGGGGGACAAGATTGGCAGAAGAGAAAGAGAGAAGAGTGGGGGGGGGTGAGGCCTACCTTTTAAAAGCGAACATAGCAAATGTGCACAGGATCTTAGTGACTGCAGCTGAGGACATATCAGACCGATGCCTGCATATTAACACTTATTCACGCTCTCTCATTTAAAGATGTATGCATTAAAAGACACTAGGTAGACAAGGACCTACTCCATAAAAATGGACAAATCTTAAAAATAACACAAAGTAAAATATCATTTAGTGGACAACTTGTGACTTTTTCCCCCTCAGATTAACAGCTAGGTAGTCAGACTCTATCACTGTAACATCTAAGAAAAATAGCTTGAAAGAAAAAAGATTTATGGCGAGCGATAGTGGTACACACCTTTAATACCAGCACTCGGGTGGCAGAGGCAGGCGGATCTCTGTGAGTTGGAGACCAGCCTGGTCTACAGAGCTAGTTCCAGGACAGGCTCCAAAGCCACAGAGAAACCCTGGCGCCCAGACGTGTGGCCAACTGAATCCACAGAAAGCCTGAAAAAGCTTGGGAAAGAGTAAAGCATGTTTTCTTGGTAGCAGCAGTTTCTTGGGTCTCCTCTGCTTGTTAGAAGCAAGCAAGCACTCTCATCTAAGAGAGGCTTCCTGACTCAGCTTCAGCTGCAAAACCCTGCAGCTCATTAAGAGGTCCTGCCACAAAACACTTAA